AAGCTAGTGTGAAGCTTAAAATTAGAATTCCTTAAGAAAGAAGATATGGGTGAACTGAGACTTTTTACAAATATAAATGATAGACCTGTAGGTAACTTCTAGCAGCAAAAATTACATAAGGGGCCAACAGAATTCATTCTTGTCTACTACTCTGTACTTTTTATTCTCTAAACACACAAGCCCTCTAGATCACTCTACTGTTTGTGAACTCTTTACCTCCTCTTCTCTTAAATAGAATCCTATCATCAAGACCACAGTAATCCTTCTATTATTGTCTCTTCGTAAAAGGAATTGCCTTTTATTCCCCCAAGCCTAATTAGCAGGCCTCCTGAAGAGAGTCCAGTTCCTTAGCCAGATATTACTGTAGTTCTTCCTCTCATCCACCAAAGAATTCCCTACATAATTTCTCTGTTTGCCCTCATCTGACAGAAAAAGATTCCAAGGCTTTGTAAGAAGTGCTTCTTTTTCAAAAAAAGAACCCTAATATTGGTCTCCTTTTGCCAAAGATCCTGTGCCTAATATTCCTCAGCACTGTCCCTTGCATGATTTCTGCATGCGCATCTTCAAGTAATGCCTTTCGAACACCATAATGATCTCTGGAAGGGAATTAGGGAAAAACAGTAGGAGTCTTCTGGTTGCAGTGTTATCAAAGATAACACTACCAGTTCTCAACAAAGGAAAAAAAACTGCAACTATACGAAGTGATGGATGTTAACTAAACTGAATGTGGTAATCATTTCACAACACATACATATATCGAATTATGTTGTATACCTTAAACTAGTTATATGTCAATTATATATATATTTTAAAAAGATAACACCATAAAAATACCTGCTGGTCAGTACCAGAAATGGTAAGAATGCCTCTATACTCTGAGAAAATCTTCATTCTCTGAATCTTTTTCTTACTATGTCAAGTCACCTGAATGTGACCGGCAGACTTACATATCGCGCACTAGTATACATAAGAAAATGGCGGCCCTGGTCACGTAGCTCAGTTGGCAGAAGCATCGCCTTGTACCTTTTTTTTAAAAATGGATGAAGGTTGTAGGATTGGTCCTGGGTTGGGGTGTGTATGAGAGGCAACTGATCAATATTTCTTTCGCTCTCTCTCTCTCAAATCAATAAAAATATCCTCTGGTGAGGATTTTTAAAAATCTGCTAAAAAAAAAAAAAAAAGGAGGAAAAGAAAATGGCAGGATCCTTTGCTAGAGTCAATTAAGTCTAAGCCCACACTTAAAATATCTCTTTCCTTTGGAGCGCCTTAAAGCTGCTACTTTTCAATCAATTGCCGGCTTTCAAATTATTAATACTTAACTTTTGGAGGTGGCATTTCTTGCTTCTTTTAGTGTAAGTTTCAAAGCTTAACCCCACAGATCTACTTATCCACATTAACAGAGAAATGTAGGTATGCAAATTTCTAACAGACATGCAGGAAGTTCTTTAGTAAGAACTAAAGAACTTTAGTAAGTTGAGAATATACAAAATTAACCAATACTGCCAACCACTGACAAGTACACCAGGAAATACTGACAAGTATAGCAGGAAAATCCTGAAAAGGCTCAAAGCAATTTTAAAATTCCAAACTAAGTAAATATAGCAACTGATACTATTTTAAGAAATAAGACTATTGTTTCTAAATCCTTTCTTAGAGCCTCTGTTCAACTAGATATATTATGGAAAAAAAAAACAAAAAACCACTCCATCAAAGGATTAGAAGTATAACACATTATATCCCAAATTTATTTGGCAATGAAAACCTTTGTGTAGAACATCTTTTAAGAGAATAATTTGTGAGGGCCTTGCATATTAGTAAACATTATATTAAATTATATTCTTCATATTATATTAGCCTAAACAGTGCTAAATCAATAATTATACTTGGAATTATAGCATAAATAAGTAACAAGATTTGTTATAGAAAAGGTATAACTAGATGGACTGTACATATATCATATACTGCAATCTTAGACTGAGAATAGCCTAGCTAAGATTATGTACCATAAATCTAATTATTCTTTCCACATGGTAGGAGAAACAGATACATTTAACCCTTGAACAACATGGAGGTTAGGGAGTAACAACCAGCCACTCAGTCCAAAATCCACAGATAACTTCTGACTCCCCCAAAACTTTAGTTTCCCCCTAGTATCCACAAGGGACCTCCTGCCCCACATCAATGGATACTCAAGTGCCATGTGTAAAATGGCATATACAATGCATGCAAACAGCCCTCCACATGCATGGACTCCCAGCCTGGTGAGATGGAAGGCTGACTAAATAGTTATTGAAAAAACCCCAACATATAAGTGGCCCTACCCCGTGCAGTTCAAATTCATGTTCAAGTTTCATCTATATTTTCAAAATCATTTCAAAATGAAGTAATCAGGATTCAACCTATTTTAGTGATGGCAAGTATGTTTACAAGTCAAAAGCCTTCTAAATGATGCTGTCAGTCCTGCCCATCTGTAATCATTATTCTTCAGAATGCTACCAGCTATCTTCCAAAAGACACATTGATAATGATATTCCCTTGCTTAAAAATCTTTCTATAGCTCCCAAATGCTTTGAAGTAGAAAATTCAAGCCTTAATTTTGCCCACCTGGTTCTAATCTACTTTCCAAATTCTTCTGCCACTTCCACACCTGTTCTAGCTATACAAGGTTGTTATTATTCATAGTTTGCTCTTTCATGATTCCTTGACTTTGGAATTGTCGTCCCCTCTTTCTTTCATTTGTTAAATTACTACACATCTTTCAACCTCCAACTCATATGACTTTTCACAGTAGCAATAAAAAACATATTTTTTATAAATGCAGTTCACTCTGTACTTCAGAAAAGCCATTACTGTATCTGAAATAGTATTTTAAAATGTATGAATACATAAAAATTATTGACTTTGATTAGTAGTCAGGCTATTTTCAGTGGATATCCTTAACTTACTGTTATCTCTCTTACATTCCATTCTTAGATTCAATTCCATAGATGCTTACTGAATATCATACTATGTCCTAGACACACAGTCTTATTCTTAAGACTTGGCCTGAAGTCTTTTCTACAGCTCAATGCATATGCAATAGGAAGTTAAGTGGAACTTTTCTCTTGCTTCAAAATTGTGTCTAAATCCAAAGCTGAGAATAATTAAGTACCTCTTCTTTTAGCTTCGAGGAGCCAACAGCAGTTGGTAGCAGCCTCTTCTCTTAAGGCTTACTGAGACACTGGTTTACTGAACCTGCCCTATTGTCAATATTGTAATACCTTCCCTCAATGAGAATCTAAAAAGGCTGAGAAGAAAGAGGAGTTTATTGGACTTTGAGAGGAACAGAGACTTTATGAAAAGAGGATATTCTACCCCTCTTTGGCGGAAAAAAGCAGTTGTCATATGTGATTCCAGAGGATAAGAATCAAAGTTAGAGGTCATTTAAAAGAAAGGCATACTGGTATTTCATCCCCCTGTTTGGTTATCTGTATAGGCAAAAGATTTACTGATTGTCTCGATTATATGCACAGGGGAGAAGAGAAATGGAGAATGTGGTAAGGAAGCAACAGGTAGAGAGATAGGTAAGACTACTGCTCACCTTGAGTCATTGGTTCCCAACAGGTATAAAAAAAATGTAAGCTTTCCCCCAATGTGCCTGCAGACACTAGAATTGGCCACAGGAGGTAGATCTGATTAGATAAAGTCTTGCCCCTCCAACCCCCCAAAAAGAAAAATAGCAGAGTCACATGGTGTGAATGCCATCAGTCAGGTTTAGCCAGAAGATGTTACCACGTCTTGCAAGGGATGGCCAATGCCTATGGAAATGGGATAGTATGGAGCTCACTGTCAGCAGAGTACATTGGAGCTACCACTCACCTTCATTTAGCCTGTTGACAATAAGCTGGAGATTACTGTTCAACAACTAAGAAGGAGGACTGCCACCTCAACACTGGGACACCATGCAGAATTCTGCCTCCCCTACCACCCTTCCCAGCTTTAACACCAGAGGAAGAAAAAGCACAAGAAAAAGAGAGGGCAGAGTGTGTGACCAAAAAAACCCTACTCACCTACCCCCTAAGTTTTCAGCCCCAGATTCAGGTCAGTTTGTCCTGGAATAAAGTGATAAGAGTACCACATCAAGCCCTCGACTGGGGTTATAATATGAAAAAAACTAAGTCTTAAATATTGGGATGAGACTACAGAATTTAAATATTATATAATAGTGACAAGATGTTGTTATGGTAGAAAAGGAGAGTTTGGCATGGTAGAGGTAGAAGGCAGTTACTAGATAAAAAGTAAAACTGATATGTATTCATATGCCAGCAAGTTGAGATCTTCAAAGAACTGGTTACACATAAATAGTCTCTGAAATTAGTTTCCCTATATATTGACATTCCAACTCTCCATTTCTTTTTTGTATAATTAATCAAATCCTGGTATGAGCTCTACAATACTGTGATATTGAAGTCTAGAACCTGTCCATCCATTTGTTCACTACTATTTACTGTTCTGTCTGAAAATACTAAATGGTAACAGCCATCCTTCGATATCTGGAAAGATACCACCAAAGTCACAGGAATGAATGGACATATAAGCATTACTAATAATGGAGGATGTTGGAAGTAGCAATAGGTACTTCAAGGAATAAAGTGAAGGAGACATGAAAACAAAGCTCAGAAAGCAGAAATTACTTTGACAAGTCAATGCTTTCAATAATCACCTTTTAATAATCCAACCAAAGAAGAAACCACCATTAAGAGGCTTATCTGACAAAGGAAAAATGAGTATATTGTAAATGGAGATTGTTCAACCACATGATTCAGAGGAAGGGAAATGAAGGTTCTAAAGAAAGAGAGGAAGAGAAAAGCAAGTAAAGGCTGGTCAGGAAGGAGGACCAGAACTGGGGCTGCACACAGAGTATGGATAAGCATGGATGATAGACAGAGGAGAACAACTCCTGGATGGGTGAGAGACAATAATGTAAAGTGGCTGTGACACATTGCAATATTAATACATACCGAGACTGAATTGCGGGTAATGCTCATAAATCTAACTGCAATTAGTACAGGTTTCTGGATTAGGAAGGACATGAAAAGGAAAGCAGAAGGTTAGAATGTACATGTCATTGCCCCATTAAAAGAGAAGATTTAATCTTTAAATGGACTTATTCTGTAGCACCAGCAAAAAAAGCACAGCTGGTCCACCTGCTTTGAAATTTGTGGGGGGAGGTTGGTTGGGGGTGGAGGGATCAGGCAAAAAGGAAAAAGGACTCATGGACATGGACAACAGTGTGGTGACTGCAGGGGGTAGGGTTTAAGGGGGATAAATGGTAGTGAAAAAAGTAGAATTAAAAAAAAAAGTAGCTTTTTAAAAAAGGTCTCTTCCCTCCCTCCCTGGATGAGCACTGCTAAATTGGGCCTCTCAGAACTGAGTTCCTGAAGATTGATACTACAGAAAGAGTTTCACTTTTAAATGTTTTTTTGTTTTGGGTTTTTTTTTTTTCATTTTCTGGGGAAAAGATTTACATAGTGTCCTGTAATGGGTTTTATTTAAAACTTTTACTGCCTGGTAAAAGTCTATGTTAAGATTTGTTTTTAGAAAAGACCCTTTGCTAATTTAATCAACAAACATTTGGTGAGCACTTGTTCTGTGCCAGAAAGTTCATTCTATAGTGAATGAAGAACAAAGTTACTTTGTTACTAATCTAAATATTAACTATGAAGATATGAATTAGTATTGCCGGGCCCCTGCTTCTCTTTAGAGATTTACTGGGGATCTGAGTGGAAGTTCATCACTGCAATTTTGTTTTATAATTAAGGGGAAGGGTAGCAAATGGGCCATAATTAAACTTTAATTCACAGTAGTTTTCCAGTTACCCACATCCTACTGATTATTGGTCAGTGAGAACTGGAATTATCTATATATAGGCCACTGGTTGCAAATGAAAATATTAAACAGAAAAGTGGAGGAAATAAAATTTTTTAAAACCTAACAATAAACTCTTAAATAATCTTTATTTGATAACAGTAGGCTCATAGATAGAATTCCATTTCCTTATGAATAATATTTTTGCAATTGATTAAGTTCTCTACATCCCAGGAGTACTGGCAGGACCACCTAAAGGGACATGTTTGAGGGTAGGGCTAGATGGTGGAAGGAAGTAGGGAAAAAAGATAGGTTAAGTGTTCACAGAAAGGACAGGAAAAGAAAACATGGCAGATTATTAAACCACCAACATTTTATTCAAATCCCTGTACTTGATTTTTAAAATTCTACACATTTAACTGCACATATATTCTGTATACACAAATAAAGAGAGCTAAACAATCAAACATGAGGCATCCACAGTGCCCTGAGATTTGATTTTTTTTTTCACTTGTTCCATGTGAAAAAGATTCAGAGAATAATCTTTCTCTCCACCATAAATGCACACTTAAATCCTAGGAAGGCTCCTATTTTTCCATGATTTCATGTTGTACATCTTACCATTGATCTACGAATCAGAGACAACCTGGTCTTTGCCTTATTCTCAGCAAATTCCAGGCTACTGATGTCTTTGAGACGAGCCTTATATTTATTCATTTGTTCCACAACAATCAGCTCCACACAGCTGAAACAGAAGGAAAGAGAGAAAACTGTTAAGAGATGAAGTAAATCAAATAAATTGTAGTATCCACAGACTGTTTTCCAGCTAAGTGTGGTAGATGGTAGGAGGATGAAAAAAAAAATCAACATCCCTTATTTTATGAGCTCAGAGATGTTTTGGAATGATGGTTTAGAACTCTGGCTGCACTTTAGTACCCATCTGAGGAATAGTTCTAAGTCCTAATGCCCAGGCCACACTCCAGAACAATTAAATCAGATTAAATTCTCTGGAAATAGGACACAAAGACCAGTATTTTTTTAAAGCTCCTTTTGCAATCAAAGTTAAGAACCATGACTCCAGAAGGAAAGCAGAGGTTCACCAAAAAGCCAAGGTGAAATACAGGAATGAAGTACTAAGAACAAAGAGATTCAGAGCCATAAGACTATAGTTAGACTATATTAAAGAAAGATACAAATGTACATAATTTGGTAAATCAGAATTTTAAAATATATTTAGAAACTATAGCATTCCTAAAGAAAGGCCAAATTTTAAAAATAAATTTATTTAAAACAAATGATACTCAGTTGAATAGACAGTAAAGAATTTTTTTTCATCTCCAGCATAAAAAGCCTCAAGGTATCCAGCAATCTTTTAAAAATAATCGAGCTTATAAAATCATTCACTGTGTTTACTATCTGGATAGTAACTACACTAACTCAAGTCCCTGGGGTCTTATAGAGGGGATAGTGACTGGCCTTACGTGGTAGTCTTACTGATGTCCTGCACGCTTTGTAGTGGGTCTATGGTGTCAGGGCAGCGGAGAATGCAGGGTGCAAACACAATGGCCAAAGCATTAGCAGACATTCGATTAGTGTTTTCCTGCAGAGCGATCCTAAGAAACAAAAACAAAACAAAATGGAACACCCAAGTGAAATTAGAATAAAAATGGAAAATAGTAAGGAGGTATATACAAGAGATGAAGAGAAAGAAGATGAATGACATCAAATGCATAGTACTGAAGGATATTCATAACAGCTGAAGGGAGATGCTGCAGGCTTTTCCCAAAGTTGACTTTGGAAAATACACTTTCACTCTGTTATTTCCTTGAAGAAATTCAGGCCACTAGATAGCTTATCGAGGGAAATCTATGACCCATGGCTCAAGGTCACCATCACCAGAAGGTTATGTCTGAAGCATGTGGGGTGGAGACATTAAAGCATTTTCAGAGGCATATTTATCCAGAAAGAAACATGGTGTTCTTCCCACTGCTGCTCATATTTACACTCGGGAAGAGAGACTACTGAGGTCTCTTTGGTCAGTCAGTCAGTTTCTAAGCACCACCTGAACTTACCTCCTATGAAGGTTATGTATACAGATATATAAACTTCAGGATTTAAATAATAGGTTAGGCTACACAGTGCCACCCCGAGGCTGAAGTTCTTACTTGGCTCAAATAGGGAGGAGAAGTAGCTGCCATACAATACAACCAGTCTGAGGATTTCTGCTCCAAGGAATCATTAACGACCCATTTGAGGCACTGACTTTATGCCCAAGGAAAGAAAATATCTGTCTAGTTTTCCAAATAGAGGAGCTCTTCATTTACTTAAAAAAAAAAAAAACCCAAGGGAAACTGTTAAACATTCCCTTGCTTCTTGAAGTTACCTGACTAAATGAAAGATGAGGCGTTCCAGTGTATTGAGATGAGTTCGGGAGAGCTGGTCAATCACAGAGTATACACCACGGATTGTCTCTTTCCTCTCCTGAAGACCTAAACACAGTAAGAGCAGCAAATAAGACTGACTATCCCTTCTTATATTCTACATATTCCTCCTGACAGACACCAGGTAGCAGGAGAGACTGGCTCTACAGTTTTGGGAGATGCAACTGTACCTGTGTGGCAGGTAACTCATAGTTACTACTAATCTCTCATTTCTTGAGTTTTATGTTCACTAAGGAGTCTGCTGAGTTTTAATCTATATTCCAGTAATCCTTGATTACAGCAAGGAGAAAGAGATACCCTAGTTTTTTAAGCATTTGGTGACTAACTGATCCCCCACTAAAAGTAATCAACTGCCATATAATTTATAAATCCGTCTGATGGGACTTTGAGAAGCATGCTTCAAGGCCTATATACTCCTAGGCCTTCATTCACAGTCTACACATAGTACTAAAAAACTAAACTCCACTACCTGCTAGGCCTGGCATAAAATAGCCAGCTTTACACAGAATTCTTACCCAGATTCACAATTTAAATGATCTTAAGCCAACCCTTAAATATCCTATTTAGAAGCAACTAAGTAAGTGACTTACTGAGAAAACTTTTTGGACACTAAAATTTTAATGAGTCTCTAAAGAAGTTAACATTTACTGATAGTTTTATATTAATTATAAGAAGTTTACTTTTTGATTTATATGGACTGAATCACTAGAAGATGGCTAAATAATTGATAATGAACATGGTATTCCCTCCTTTCCAAGTCTAGGCCTTCCCTCAAACCCAGGAAGCCATGCTTACCCATAGCTCGAAGAAATTCCTCATAGAGCTCAAAGGTCATGAGTGGATTGGGCAAATCACGAAGCCATTGTTTGAATACACTTGCAATGACATGTATGTTATAGTCATCTAGGTTTACACTCTCAGCATCTATTTATAAACAAGAGTTAGATAACAAAGACAAAACATGCAAAGAGATTCAAATGATCTACTTTAGAAACTGTCATCACTGAAGGAAGGTTTCGTGTTCTTAATTAGACTGACTAACTTAATATCTTCTACAATCTAATCCCATCCTTTGGAACAGTGCTTCTAACCCTAGTAAAGGAACAGTTTATTTTCCAAACCTGTCATAGACTGATCCATGTGTAAAAGATTATGTTTTCATATCAAAGCACTATTAAACTGCTCTACCAGTTTCTAAATGCTTGCTCTCAACTTCTGTACTTAACCTTGCTGTGCATTAGTCCTGAACCACACACTGAGTGACAGTGCTTTAGATGACAAATGGCCAAAAGGCCCAGAGGACATTTTCAAAAGTAAAGGTGATTTTAAGTCATTCTTAGAGATAAAAGGACGGTAATAATTGAGCTTAGGAAATATAAAGGAAACACCTTTATTTTGTTTCACTTATAAACTCCCTATGGAGTTTCCACAGAGGTTTACTGGCAAGGTTGGGAGGATATAGAATGACTGATTTTTTCACTTGTGCTGACTCAAGGTACAAGAAACAAGATGGCAATTTCCTTTAAACTGGAGTAGACCAAGTTTCTGTAGACAGAACCTTGTGTTTGAGTTTTATTAGGCGTCTTCTATTATTATTTCCATACTGATTCATTTCTCACTGATTTGTTCATTTAAAAAAAAAAACCAGAAGGGTAAGGGATGTGGTTAGGTTCTTGGCTATGCACAGACTGGCTTTGAACAGAACTGTGATTCAAAAAGATCTATTCCACCCTGACCAGTGTGGCTCAGTTGGTTGGATGCTGCTCCACAAAGTGAAAGGTTGCCAGTTTGACTCCAGGTCAGGGCACACGCCTAGGTTGCAGTTTTGGTCCCCAATCAGGGTTCATACCAGAAGCAACCAATCAATGTTTCTCTTTCACGTCAATGTTTCTCTCCCTCTCTTTCTCCCTCTGTTACCCTCTCTCTAAAAATAATAAATAATCGCCCTAGCTGGAGTAGCTCAGTGGATTGAACGCAGGCTACGAACCAAAGCATCACAGGTTCTATTCCCAGTCAGGGCAATGCCTGGGTTGCAGGCCACATCCCCACTGGGGGCCACATGAGAGGCAACCACACACTGATGTTTCTCTCTTTCTCCCTCCCTTCCCCTCTCTAAAAATAAATAAAATCTTAAAAGATAATAATAATAAATAAAATCTTAAAAGAAAAAAAAGACGTATTCCTTCTCAACAGTGGTAAAGAGTACAGGTTGATAATAAAATCCAAGTCAACCCCCTGGATATATTGCAGGGCTGTGGCCAGAGCTGTATACAGATACATGTTCAACCCACTAATATCACTTTAACTTTAAATAACTATGTCATCAATGTAGGAAGGTGGGAAGATGCATCAGAACCAGCACTGGTAGCCAAAATAACAGAGACTAATAGCTATCGTTTAGATTCTGAATTCAGAAGATGTGGAGTTAAATTCCAGCTTGATCCCTTATCGGTGATGAGTCTTTGGACAAGATCCTCTGTAAACCTCTGTTTCTTTATTTGTAAATAGGGATAATAATCCCTAATTCAAAGGACTGTCGTGAAGATTATTACAAAAACATTAACTCAGTGCCCTGCATCATCACTGACAGCTCATTATTTAAATTCCCTGAGCCTAATTTTTTTTCTTTGCAAATTATAGATATCATGATCTTACTAGACTGTTAAGAAAGTTAAATGAGATAGGTCTGAGGTACCTATTAATACCTTGTATCAATGACACACTCAATATATGTTTGCTGAATTGACCATGTAAAAACAAGTCTCTTTAGGAAGCCACAAAATGATAATCAAGCACCACAGAAAAAAATTACCTTCTTCTGGCTATACGAAAATGATCAACATGCAATGAAAACTCTAAGAACACAAAATGACCTATTTAAATAAAAGTATTTGGTCTTGATTTGGAGTGCACCATCTTACCTGTATCTAGACCTTGTCGAAGCTCCTTGATTTTATTAGTTGAACCAGACTTTCGATAAATACCTTCTGTATACAGTCCATGCATTTCAATGTAGTTTATGAGCTTTTCCACCACTAAAGGAACAGTTCGGTCTTCGCTTGTCAAACGGGACAGTTCAACCCCAAACTGTCGAGATGATAGCTCTGGATCATACTAAACAAAAGAGGATTTTTGTTTTCAAATATGTTCAAATACCTTTAAACATGTTTAACCAATTCTTTTTTAAAAATATTTATTTATTTATTTTTAGAGAGGGAAGGGAGGGAGAAAGAGAGAGAGAGAGAGAAACATCAATGTGTGGTTGCTGGGGGCCATGGCCTGCAACCCAGGGATGTACCCTGACTGGGAATCGAACCTGCGACACTGGTTCGCAGCCCGCGCTCAATCCACTGAGCTATGCCAGCTAGGGATGTTTAACCAATTCTTTAAGAGGAGCTACTTTTTGTTTCCCTGAAGTTTTATGAGCATAATTATAAAAGTTAGGAGGAAAGAGAATCATGGTTAAAGCTGACAGTATAAATAAGTGAGATGTTTGCTTCCATCCTCTCCCACTAAGAATATACCCCAAAAAATGCTGGGGTGAAGAATGAAGGTAGTGGCAGCAGGCTGCTGTTTCCCTTTCTGTTAAAAATCTCTTCATGTAAGCCCTGGCTGGTGTAGTTCAGTGGATTGAGTGCGGGCTGCAAACCAAAATGTCGCAGGTTCGATTCCCAGTCAGGGTACATGCCTGGGTTGCAGGCCACGGCCCCCAGCAACCGCACATTGATGTTTCTCTTTCTCTTTCTTCCTCCCTTCCCTCTCTAAAAATAAATAAATAAAATCTTTAAAAAAAACCTTACCATATTTAAAAAAAAATCTCTTCATGTAAAGCTGGGATGTGGGCAATAGAGAAGGGATCTAAATGTATCCTAAACATTCAACAGGTACCATTAGAAAATCTAATTTGATGTGAGTTAGAATATTCAGTAACTTACAAAGCATAGGAATGTTTTGATGTGGGAAAATGGGAACAAATTATAATCGTACAACACTAAAAAAAAAAGGAAAACAATACAAAAAAAGAGAACCAACCAGAATTTTAACTTCCAATCCATTCTCATTCCCATACTTTTCCATTGAACTTGGCTTAAATGAAAGGCTTTACACACACACACACACACACACACACACACACACACACACACACAGAATGTTTCAATGTTTATGTAAACCTTTGGGAAGTTCAACTACACATTGATGGCACAGCTAAAAACAGAGGCACACACAGATTGTCCCAAGGTTAGTAGTCTAGATCTTTTTAAAATTTACTGTAAGCCCGGGCTGGTGTGCTTCACTGGACTGAGTGCCAGCTTGCGAACTGACAGGCTGCCATTTCGATGCCCAGTCAGGGCACATGCCTCAGCTGCAGACCAGGTCCCTGGTTGGGGACATCAATATTTCTCTCCCTCTCTTTCTGTTTCTCTTTCCCTTCCCCTCTCTCTAAAAATAAACAAATAAAATTTAAAAATAAAAAATAATTTTAAAACTTTTAAATTATTTTTTATTTTAATCATTGTTCAAGTACAGTTTTCTGCCTTTTATTCCCATTCCAGCCCACCCACCCATCCCTCCCCGCCTCCCTCCCATTTCCACCCCCCCCCTAATTTTTGTCCATGTGTCCTTTAAGTTTGTTCCTGTAAACCCTTCCCATTTTCCCCTGAAACTCCCTCTTCTCTCCCCTCTGGTCACTGTCAGCCTGTCCTCTATTTCAGTGTCTTTGACTATATTTTGCTTGTTTCTTTGTTTTGTTGTTTAGGTTCCTGTTAAAGGTGAGATCATATGGTATTTGTCTTTCACTGCCTGGCTTATTTCACTTAGCATAATGCTTAAAAAACAAATTTACTTTAATACTGTATCTATCATACTTTACTAACTATAGTTTATGTGACTGTAAAAGAATAGTTTATCCTTAAGATTATTTGAATTCTTAGAAAAGAAAAATGCCAGGTATTATTTCTGACACAAAAACCCTTTTTATAAATTGTTTTGCCCTTTCCTTCTTCTCCTGTACCATTCATTCTCCTTACCTAATCCAACACTGTGCACCCCACTCTCTCTTCCTATCTGCACCCAATCAGTGCCAAGTTCTTTCAGTCAAGCAGTACACCAGGGTAATGTGTCAAACTCATTCTCACTAGGGGCCACATCAACCTTGTGGTTGCCTTGAAAGGGCTGAATGTAATTTCAACTCGTTAACAGTTAAGGAGTAGTTACATTTATACTGTCCTAAAATTATTTCGGCCCTTTGAAGGCAACCGCGAGGCTGATGCGGCCCCCACTGAAAATGAGTTTACACTCCTGCAATACACTCTATGCTTTCTTTCCTGTTCTCAGTGCCATCACCCTAGTTCAAACCTGTATCACTGACCACTTGGGCTATTCCAACAGCTTCTTGATCAATCTCCCCACATCCATTTTCTCTTCACTTAATATACTGAAGAGTGTATATAATCTACTTTATTATCCTCTAAAACCTACAGTGGCCAACAACTATATATTAAATAAAAGGTGCAAACACTGCTGAATCTAATATTTAAGGTATTATGTAAATGTATCTTAATTTCTCCTTTTAGTCTTAAGTTAATACATTTGTCACTTACATGCTAGGTAACAGAGACAAAATCAAGTAAGAAATAGTCACTAAGTCTAAGACTAATGCTAAGACTAGTAGTTTCAGTGAGTGGAGATACATAACAGAAACAACAGATTCATTTGGTATTAGGGAACTATAGAAGTGAAACAGCTAGATCAGGAAGGACTGGGCTGACTAACTATTTGGATGATTCAGAAGGCCACAGCTATGGACAACTGGTGATTGGCAGCTTCATCATGACAATGTGCCTGCTCATGCATCATGTCTTGTGCAGAGATGTTTGGTGAAACATCAGATCACCCAGGTAACTCAGTCCCTGCTACAACCCAGACTTGGTACCCTGAGACTTCTGGCTTTTCCCAAAACTAAAATCACCTTTGAAAGGGAAGAGATTTCAGACTGTCCTTGAAATTGAGGAAAATACAACAGGGCAGCTTATGATTATTGGGAGAACTATGTGAGGCCCCAAGGTGTCTGCTTTGAAGAGGACTGAGGTGTCATTGTCCTATGTACAATGTTTCTTGTATCTTCTTCAATAAATGTCTCTATTTTTCATATTATATGGCTAAATACCTTCTGGACAGACCTCGTATACTGATTTGCAATGTTCCTTTATTTTAATATAATTTTCAAAACCATCTGGGCCTAGAGAGCTCTTTGTGGGAAGATTTTCAATTATATATTCTACTTTAATAAATAGGACTCTTCAGATTTCCTATTTTTTCTTGGCTTAGTTTAGCTAAGTTGTGCTTTTGTGGAAATTTGCTCAATTAGTCTAAACTGTCAAATTTATTGCTAACAAGGTATTTATAACAGCCTTTTATTTACCTTATAACATATGTAGTATCTGCAGTGACATGGCATTTTTATTCTTGAAAAATAACACTTCATGTTAAAAAACTCATCACTTGCTAAGAGTTTAGTGTTTTAGGCTTTTCAAAGACCTACAATGTGTCTTTATACATTTTATCTCTTGCACAAAAGCTTTTGATTCCATTTATTTCTCTTTATTATCTACCCTTTGCTGTCTTTGGGTTTAATATTTTTTCTAGTTTCTAAAGATGGGAGTTGAGATCATTTCTATGCTTTAATCTTTTCTAATGTATGATTTAAAGGTATAAATATTCCTCTAATCACAAATTTAGCTACAGCCATACTTCTGCTATGTCATGTTTGTTATTATTGAACTCAAAAATATTTTTCCATTTATATTGTATCCGTAATTTAGAAGTATACTGTTTAATTTCCAAACATGTGAGGACTGTCTAGTTATACTTATATTGATTTTTACATAAATTCAACTCTGCTAAAAAATATACTCAGTATTTCTTTTCTTTTTTTTCTAGTCTTTGAAAAAGTTGATTTATTTCTGGTTTATTCCTTTTTATTTAATTTAGTGGGGTGACACTGGTTAACAAAAATTATACAGGTTTCAAGTGCACAATTCCGTAACACATTATTTGAACACTGTACTGCATGTTCACCATCCTAAGTCAAGTCTCCTTCCATCACCATTTATCCCCCCCATACCCTCCTCGATCTCTCTCTCCAATCACATGCCACCCTCCCTTCCTCCCGGCAATCATCACACTGTTGTTTGTGTCCAAGAATTTTATCTCTTTTATTTTCTTTTTTTGTTCAATCCCTCTACCCTCCCCTCCCCCAATCTATGCTCCTAACCCTACTCCCAACAGCTGTCATCCTATTCTCTCTGAGTCTGTCTCTATTTTGCTTGTTAGTGCATTTTGTTCATTAGATTCCACATATGAGTGAAATCATATGTATTTCTTGGATTGGTTTATTTCACGTAGCGTAATGCTCTCCAGGTCCATGCATGGTTTTGCAAAAGGGAAGATTTCCTTCTTTTTTATAGCCGAGTAGTATTCCATTGTATAAATGTACCACATTTTTATCCACTCATCTACTAATGGACACATGGGCTGCTTCCAAATCTTGCTCTCATAAATAGCACTGTAATGAACACAGGGATGCATATATTCTTCTGAATTAGTGCTTCAGGTTTCTTTGGATAAATTCCCAGAAGTGGAATTTCTGGGTCACAAGGCAGTTCCATTTTTAATTTTCTGAGACAACTCCATACTGCTCTCCACAGTGGCTGCAATAAAGTACATTCCCAACCGCAGTGGAGGAGGAGGGTTCCCCTATGTCCACATTCTTGCCAACACTCATTTATTTATTGATGAAAGCCATTCTGACAGGTGTAAAGTAATATCTCACTATGGTTTTAACTTGCACTTCTCTGATGATTCCACTGAACATCTTTTCACATGTCTATTGACCATCAGTATGTCTTCTTTGGTGTCTACTCAGGCCCTTTGCCAATTTTAAACTTAGATTGTTTGTTTTTTTGGTGTTGAGCTTTTTAAGCTCTTTATAAATTTTGGTTATTAAATCCTTAATGGATGTTATCATTGGCAAATATATTCTCCCAATCAGAAAGTTGTCTTTCTTTTTGTTGATGTTTTCCTTTGCTGTGAAAAATATTTTACAATAATTTGAT